CACGCTCTCCTCCGCGCCCCGCCCACCCGCGCTCCGTCCCTGGCTCCTCTAGCCCCGCTCCGCCCACTGAGGCTCTGCCTACCGCGGCGCTCAGCCCTTTGCCGGGTCCCGCGTTCCAGCGCGAGCAGGCAAAGGTCGCAGGCATGGAAGGTGGCCTGGGACGCGCCGTGTGCGTACTAACCGGGGCCTCCCGCGGCTTCGGCCGGGCGCTCGCCCCGCTCCTGGCCCCTCTGCTGTCACCGGGCTCGGTGCTGGTCATCAGCGCCCGCAGCGACGAAGCACTGCGACAGCTGGAAGCCGAGCTGAACGCGGACAGGCCGAGTCTGCGCGTGGAGCGCGTGCCCGCCGACCTGGGCACCGAGGCCGGCTTGCAGCAGCTGCTTGGCGCTCTGGGGAAGCTCGTCAGACCGGAGGGGCTGCAGCGCCTGCTGCTCATCAACAACGCGGGTAAGACCTCGTGTGAGCGCGTCAGTGCTGCTTAGTGTTCCTGCTGGTTCTCCCTCCTTCACTCCTCCCACCATTTGGAAACCTAAAGGTTGACTCCTATGAGTCAGAAAAGCCGCCTGGCGGTGCTGACTGTTTCTGTGAGCAATGGAAGACCGGTGTTGCCCGGCGCCTCACTGACCTCCTCCCCCGCGGAGGAGGCCAGGGTGGAGAAAGCGCGGTAGAACGTTCCGGTTGGTCTTACTCCGCGCCCTCTGGCGGAGACCTGCGTAAGGGCATGGGATCGCGAGGCAACAGTCAATTCCCTGGTTTCTCCAAAAGACTCCCAGAGTTTCTCTGGGGTCCCAGAACAGGGCATGAACCTTTTCGGTTTGCTACTTGGGTGAATGGTGGTGTCGCATGTCTGTCTGCAGGGCTGGGGAAGAGGGAGGGTCTCATTCTAGGTTTGCACGGGAAGGGGGGGTCTGAAGGGATTTGGAGAGAATTGGGGGAAGAGAAAGCCCCTCCTGCTCGGGATGGAACCTAAGGTCTGTTTTTTCAGGTACTCTTGGGGATGTGTCCAGAGGCTTTGTGGACCTGGGCGACCCAGCTGAAGTCAACAACTACTGGGCTCTGAACTTGACCTCTGCACTCTGCCTGACATCCAGCATCCTGAAGGCCTTCCGGGACAGTCCTGGCCTCAGCAAGACTGTGATTAACATCTCTTCCCTCTGTGCTCTGCAGCCTTTTAAGGGCTGGGCACTCTACTGTGCAGGGAAGGCTGCCCGTGACATGATGTTCCAGGTCCTGGCTACAGAAGAACCTAGTGTGAGGGTGCTGAGCTATGCCCCAGGTAGGCAGGGCGCTACTGCCCCCCTCTCCCTCAGAACTGCTGGTTCTTCTAATCTACTCCTCCAAGAATTTAATGTCCCTGAATCATTACCATCACTCGGTAAGGGAAATAAATACAGGTGCCAAGGAAGCTAAAGCTGGCAGGAGAGGGAGCTGTAGAGTAACAGGCTATGGAGAGAGTGCAGCTGGCCTGGACGGGAGGGTAGGCCCAGAGAGTCTGAGGTACTAGAGTTTGAAGAAAGATTAAGGCTTGAATTCCAGATCTGTAGCCCATTTCCTCACGTGAACAGGTAAGGCACTACCTTTCTCACACAGCAGTTTGGAGGACTGAAAGGGTAATATATGTGAAAATGATCCCTAGTTGTGAAGTGCTGTCTAATTGTTAGCACTTCTAATTGTTAGGTAGAATGTGGCACACTATGTTGTTTTCTTGTTTACTTCTCTGCATCCTTTCTTGATGGGAAAACCTTAAAGGCAGGGACCATACACTATTGCTTGTCTCCGGCACCTAGCAAAGTACTCTACTGAGTCACCCTACACTAAATGCTAGATGATTGATGAGCCGATAGAGACTGTTGAGTCCTGACTATCCTAGACTGAACAGGGCAGGAATACTGGGGGGTGCTGGGATAAATAAAGGGTCCCTGTCCTCATGATAAATTAAAGGGTAGGACCAGCCTGGTGACATTTGGTCCAATTTCCCATCATCTTGCCATGATGCCACTATCTCAAAAATGAGGCTTCCATTCTAGGCTTGATTGCTGCAATTAGAAAGTGGGTGACATAGCTATTGATAATGGAACAACTCAGGTGGATATCCAGTAGTCTATTCCCCCTGGAACCCTGGGTGCTGCAAGGTAGTAACCTGATTAAAATCCAGATGTGGATTTTAGATCAAGCCTTGCCTTTCTACTTCCTCATGTTCTCCAGTACCCAGTCCTCTGTCACGCCCTAGCGCACACACACACCATTATTCTTGTAGCCAGCATTAGATAGTTTACTAGAAATTGTCTCGGAGTAGGTCATTTTGTGTTGTCATTTGGGGGTGACCTATTAGCTATGTGGACTTAGATGTTAAAAACTCTGTAGATTTGAGAAGTTCATAGCCAGTGTTTCTTTAAAGTTACTCCTTCTTCTGGGAGTTCCTCCAGAACTGTGTATATGATTATTTTAATGGTAATCTTTGACCCATGTAGACCTCCTGCTCTGTTTGTCATTCTTTTTTTCCAGTTTGTTCCTCTGACTGATTCAAATGACCTGTCTTCTGGTTCGCAAATACACTGTTTGATTGGGTCTGTTGTTGACTTCTTCAATTCAATCATTGGATTTTTCAAGTCCAGGATTTTTGTTTGGTCTTTTAATGGTTTCTGTTTTCTGTTGAACTTTGCATTTTGTCCATGCGTGGTTTCCTTAATTTGTCTATTTGTAGCTCACTGAATCTCTTTAAGAGGATGATACTGAATTCTTTTTCAGACAGTTCATATAACTCTTTAGGATCAGTCATCTAAGTTTGTGTAGTTTCCTTTGTTGGTGTCATATTACCTTGATTATTCTTGATCCTTACATTCTTGCCTTTATTTATGCTTTTGAGGAAGTAGGAACCTCTTCCAATCTTTACATGCTGACTTCGGTGAGCAAATCTCTTTACTAGTCAGTCTTCCCAGAGATTGTAGATGGGCCATTTGGTGATATCTGCGGTGGGCTTGTTGTTGGAATCCTTGGGTGACCTGTGCTTGAGTGGGTTGAAAGCCCGGTCTGGTGATGAACCTGGCCAGGAACCTGGGGTTCATGGCCGCTTGCCTAGAGGCTAGATTTGAAAGAACTGACTGGGAACCTGGTCCCTCAGGACCTGTGGATCATGGGATCAAGCTGGTGCTGAGAAGCTGCTGCCAAGGGAGCCGCCTGAGGCCATAGGAATCAGCTAGTGCTAGAGTGGCTTGAGCTGACAGGGACCCCCCCTGGAGGCTGGCCTGAAAGAGCTCCCACGGGCACCAGGCACTGCCAGGGCCTGCTGGAGCCAACAGGCACCAGGTTGGATTAAGGGCTAAGGTTCAGGGGAGCCCCGTGCCATGGAAGCTGTCTGTCCAGGAAGTACCTGGAGTTGCTGGAGCTGACAGGCCCTGGAGGGGAAGGGTAGTGGAGCTGGATTCCTCAGCACCTAGGGCAGTGGGGTTGGTCTGATGCTGGGGTGGGCTGGCCCTAGTGTGTGGTAAAGTCTTGTGTTCTCTTCAGTCTTCTCCCACAGTGAAGGTCTCTCTCTCTCTCTCTCTCTGTACTGGGCTACTCAGTTTGGGAGTAGGAGAAGGTATGGAAATGGTATCATTCTTTTTCCTACCTACCTCAATGCTCTCAGTACATACTTTTTTATTTCTGTTTTGCCTAGGTAGTATAAACGCTTACCTGGAATCCTTACTCTTGTGAAGGTATTTTTTGTGTTTCCAAGTAGTTGCTTAAATGGATAATTCTGTGGAAGTACAAGTGCTAGAAATTCCTGAGCTGCTATTTTGCTGACTTTAGTCATGTTTGATAGCAGGTTGCACTTAGCAGAGGGCTACAGATGGAATTGAAGGAGGGAGAAAACCAGGACTGTATGTATTAAGGACATGACTGTCAAGGTTTGCAGAAGTGTCCTCCCTGGTGACCAGTTGGCTGTGGGGGCAACGGGGAGGGAGGAGGAGGTGATGGGGTTTAGAGTCTGGGAGAAGAGCATTTCACTAACAGAAACAGGAAAGTCAGGAGGAGATGCTGGTTGGCGATAAGCTTGATTGCAGATACGGTGACCTGGGGGACCATGTTCAGTGTGCCTTGGAATTTGAGTCTATAACTCAACAGCGACAGCTAGATCCTCAGGGAGGACTGACATCTCCAGCCACACCTTACTCCACCCTCTACCCCACTTTGCATGCACAGCATGCCCCCTCATCGTCTGCTCTCCACCCTCCAGGTCCACTGGACACAGACATGCAGCATGTGGCCCGGGAGACCTCTGTGGACCCAGAATTACGAAAAAAACTGCAGGAGCTGAAGACAAAGGGGGAGCTGGTGGACTGTAGAATGTCAGCCCAGAAACTGCTGAGCTTGCTGCAGAAGGACACCTTCAAGTCTGGTGCCCATATTGACTACTACGATGAATAAGCTCATGTTCTTGGCTCCTGGGCCTTTCATCCCTCTCTTTCAGACACACCTGTGCCCCCCACATCCAGCCACACTGCCAGATCTACCTTTCCCAGATGAGCACTTGAGCCTCCAGGCCCAGCCAGCTTTGAGGCCCTCGACCCCCAGAGTCCCAGTCCTCAGGAGTCTGTGTGGAGCACCCTGAATTAGGGAGAGGCCTAGGAGAGGCCTCTCAGAAATAGAGTTTCAGGGGAGGGTAAAGCAGGACAAGATGGTGGGACACTGAAAAGAGGAGATTGGGTCTCCTAACTTGGGCCAGTTAATGGGAAGATGAGGGGTGAACTGGCACCACATAGGAGGCTCCTGCAGGACCACAGGTGGGTGACCGGTGGGGAGGGAGAATAGCGTAAGCTCTGTCCCACAGGGATGCCCCTGGCTCAGGGTAACCAAACCTGTTGAACTTCATGTATTCATTCTGATTTCCTGGAGCAGCTACCACCTGTCCTCAGACAGAGGTTTTCTTAAAGGCAGAAACAAATAAAGTGATTGTGCTTATTAGTGCCTGCTTTTGTCCGCTGATACAGAGCCACGACTAACTCCCTGGTTTGCTGGATCTGGGGGTGGTCCTGAGGCAATTAACCCAAAGTTGGAATGCTGCCTTATGTCCTAGGGAGTTGTCTGGAGCTACCTCTTCTCACTGACCCTGCCCAAGCCCCAGTTCAAACAGGGTAGCCAAGGTGGGCATCCCAGACCCTGTTTCTTCATGCTGCTGCCTACACTGACCCATCTTTATTATCTTTCCTCAACCTTGACCCACTCAGGAGTATCTACCCTTTAGACCTGAGAATGGATCCTTTCCCGGGTTCTCTTGTATTCCCAGTTCCACCCTTGCCCACATGGCACTGTTCTGAATGGGTCCCAGTTCCTCAGGGCCCCCCGTTATGGGCCTTCCTGGTAATGTCCCTGTGGGCTTAGAACCAGCAAATCTTTGGTGGAGATGAGCAAGATTCAAAGAGAGGGAGACCTTGAGAAACTTGGAGTGCGACCAGAGGCATCCCGCCAGCCCCCGTGCGGTAGGCTACAGCCAGCCAGCCCCTCACCCTGGGCCTCTGAGAGGGGTCCTCACCAGCTTCCTCCAGAGTTCAGTCCTGCAGGAGGGAGCGCTCTTTGCTCCTTGTGCACAGCAGAGGGCGCACGGAGGCCATGCCTTCTGGAGAACAGGCAGCTGCATTTCTCTGAGACTCTTGTCCTGGAGGCAGACCCTGAGTCAGCGCTGGCAGTAGCCTACTAGGTATTCCAGGAGGGCGTGAGCAATACATGCTGTCTTCACCCAGCCCAGCCTTTGCCCTCACAGAGTGAAAATTGCTATACTCTTATTCCTGCCTGCCAGCTGGTAACACAAACAAGTTGCTTTGCTTCTCTGTGCCTCAATTTTCCAGTCTGAAAAATGTGGATTTAGAATAGTGCCTCCCTCAAAGGATCATGGAGAATAATGTGATTTGTACTTACAAAGGTTGAACACAGTGCTAGCATTGCAGCAAATACTGCCTTTTAATACCAAGATGCAGCTCGTCCTGAAGCACTACCTGCAGGCTCGTCGTCTCCACACCACCACCTCTTGCCCCTGCAGATGTGTGACCAGACCTCTCACTGTACTGCCCCAGGTCGGACCTCGGTGGGGCTGGTGGTCAGTCTGGACAACTTGTCCTGGACTCAGTGGACTCATGAGAAAGTGCTTGAGCCTTGGAATTAGGAGCCCTGGGTCTCCCTCTGTGACGGATGCTGTGGCCCTCAGGCAGTTCTTCCCTCCTTCTGGCTGCACCGTCCTTAGACTAGAGGAGCTCCAAGATTCCTTCCTGCAAATCTTTCTCCAAGTGTTTCAAACGTGCTCATTCTGCACCTAGTGGCACCAGGTTTGCCTCTAAAGGTGGAGCTACCCACACCGGGGCTGCCCCTTCTGTCACTGTGAGTCATGGCCATTTTCCCTATGGGGCCCTTGCTTCTGTGGGATGAGGGCAGTCAGTGCCAGCTCACCCCCACCCCAAGTCTGGTGGGGTTGTCCCCCTCGCCCTGCCAGGCTGTCTGAGGACGTGGTGAGGAGTACCACATGTGCCCACAAGGGGGCAAGACCCTCCCACGCCTGGCAGTTGTCTTGCCTGAGCCCAAGGATTTAAAGAGCCTTGAAAATGACCCTAGACTTCTCTCTTTTTCTCCATAACTAGGAGTACTGGATTCTCAGGGGCCTCCCAGGAGCAGGGGAGGCAGAAAGGGCTAGGATCACTCTTGGCAGGCCCCAAGAGCCCCTTACTGGCTCATGGACTGGACATGGGATTCCCCAGAGGACGCTGCTTGACCTAGACTCAGCCTCCCCAGGCCCCTTCCCTTGAAGCAGGGAGACATCTGTGTTGCCAGAGTGCGTGGCCTGGCCTGATCTTGGCCACCACACACATGAGCACATGTAAGCGCACACAATACATGCCTGCACATGCCCGGACCCCAGCTGCCAGGTTAACAGGGCTTCAGATTAGCCAAAACACAAACACAGTTTCTCTTTGTCTTTGACATGAATGAGCTGAGCAGTTACTTTGATTTTGTATTTAATACCCCTGAGCTGGGGGCCAGCAGCTGGTCTGTGAGAGGCAGGGGGATGAGAGTGATGGTCCAGGCCCCACCCCAGAGAGCTCCAGCACCTCTGTCCCTGTCCTTGAGGACAACTGACTGGGACCGGGCTGGTCAGAAGCACTCACATCCCAGTTCTGTGTTCCCCTGTGAATGCAGGCCAGGCTGGTGGCTGGGTCCTTTTTTGCCAAGTCTAAAGGTGTCCTGCTGTTCCCACCTCCCCACTGGGAATGCTCTTCAGGGTCACACATCAGCCTAGCCTCTCCCCATGACTCGTGGTAGGGAGCTGGATTTTGGGACACGGTCTTCTGGCCTCCTTTGCCCACTGCCTGTCCCCACAGAATGTGTAGGGAGTGACTCCTGCCATGTGTAGTGACGACCACACAGCACATGGGCCCAGTGCTTACCCTCACCATCCAGGTCCCAAGCAGGTGGTGAAGAACACTTACCAGAGACCCCACAGGGTGATACCTCCCCAGCCCCCATGCTATCTCAGCCATCTGGGGTGTGGGAGGAGAGAGTGGACCAGAAGCAAATAGGCTGTTTGCAAGGAAGTTAACAGAGGAATACTCTGAGCCTCTGGGTCCTGCTGGGGAGAGTAAAAGCAGAATTTAGGCCAGCAGGGAGTAAGCCATCCTGGCTTCCCTGTCCCAGCCCTGAAGTTTTCTGTCTGTCTGCAGCCCTGGGGGGTGAGACACAATGCTGGATATTCCCTCAGAATTCTAAAGGAGAGCCTTCCTGCCTGGCCCCAACCAGAACCCCAGTGTTTGCCAGCAAGGCTCTTACCTGTTCTTCGTCTACTTCATCCATCTTCCAAGACTCCCCGCAGTCCTCAGTGTGAACTGGAAGAGCCCTGGATTTCTGGTTTTGGTGAAGGGTTGAAGGAAAGAAGGAAATTAGGGAGAAGGAAGTTATTTTTTCCTTTGGGGTATCATCACACATAATCAGAGTGATTCCTCTGCTGACTAACCTGGAAGCTTTCTAGAGGTCTCTTCCTCTACAGCCCAGGTATCTGTTCCCCAGAGGAAGAGACCGACCTCGCTCTGCTCCCCAGACCCAGTGCCGTCTCCCGGAACTGCAGGAGCCTCTCTGGCCCATACTTTGGTTCAGGTTTTGGTCCTGCTGCTGCAGAAGCCACTGCTGCCTGAATCCTGCCCTCAAAGCCCCAACTTGAACCCAGGGCTCTAAGCCTCAGTCTCTAGGAGTTGTGTGTATTCTCAGACCTGACCCAGACCTAACCCACTGAGACAGTGTTGCATGTCTGATGAGTGATGAATGAATGAATGAAGTGTGAATGCTGTTGTGCTCCATGGCCTGGGGAGTAATGAAGCCTGGGTGTGGTGCTTTACGCCTGGCAGTCAGGCTTCTGCAGATAAGCCCCCACCTGAATCAGGTATCCCAAGTGCGGCTTCAATGCCCTCTTGCCCTCCCCCTGGGGATCCTTAAAGGAAAGCCCACATGTGTTTATTGTGGAAAGGGGTGGGAACCTGGCCGGGCTCAGCCACCTGGGGAATTAACAAGAAAGCATTGATTGTCCCCCTCCTTCACCCCAGATTCCCAATTCAGTGGATCTAGATCTTGCTTTCATTAGAATATTTAAAAAATAGACTGGAAAAAAGAATTGATCAATGAACAAACTCGTTTTAAAAGAGTGCTACAAACCCAGATGGTATTGGCAAGGACCAAAGGAAGCAGCCCCCTCAGGAAAGGGGAGGCCCAGGGGACAGAGCCAAGGTTGGGAGTTGGCGTTAGTCTGAGGTCGGAATTGAGCAGTGGCCACTGTGAGGCCAGAAGTGAGGTCAGCTCTGGGCTGGGCTAGCCTCAGCGTGTAGTAG